ATGCAAACAGTAGAAATAGCTTTCATTAGCAATAATGCTCAATGGCACCTCTTGCACTAATAAAGCATCTGTTTCTCCATTCTTGCTAAGTATATGCTAGAATTCCTACTACTTATAGATGCTAAGTAAACCCATACAAACACAAAAAACTTGAAAAAAACCTACTCAGATCAACTGGACACCGATTGACATCTATGCATCTTAGTTTGCATGTTGTTTTAAACTACTAATACTTACTTTAAATAGGGAACAGTATGTAATACTTTGATACGATTCACACCTGACATACTTGCAAGGCCAGCTGTCAAAGGAGTTGAAAAATTCAGGTCTGTGCCAATATCATACATAATCTTTAGTCCCAGTTTCTCCCTGTATGGGAAAGACAACGTGCTATTTTATGAGCCCTGTAAAACTAACATATAACTTGGAAACAGGTTTAGAAAGGGACAGACAGTGCATTAATATTTTTTATCTGTGCATCTCCTGCAGTCTTCCCCCTTTAGGATTTTCTTTTCTCGTATTATTTACTTACAAAAAGGGGAGAACACAAGAAAACTGATTAAATTAACACCTGATTGAACGTAGATATAGATTTAGAAGTCAGAGCCTGATCTCACAAAGCAAGTAAAATATAGACATGAGATTTGCCTTTCTCTGCACTGCTGTGACTGGCTGAAGATTCAGAGATACCGACCAACAACGTATTGATATTTAGATCTTAATAAGTAACTGTCACAGTCACAACCGAAACATCAGCCTACACACAGTATTTCACAGTATGTGTTCCTTTAAACACAGCTATAACCATATCACGCTAATAATCTTACTGAAAATCAAAATGGTTGAGGAGAGGAGCAAAAAGTTTCCATTTTCTTGTTGGTTCCTGACCATTTTCTTTGCCCTATTCCCAGAGCCTGGTTCTGCTCTGCAGTACTTCAAACACTGTTCAGGTTAGTGAGGTATAGAAGGATAGCTAAATAAGCACTAAGACACACCATGAAGATCAGCAGATCACAAGCTACGTTTTCACAGCCCCAGTTTCCAACGATGCTTGCTTACTGAGAGCCAAAGGCTGGGCATCTGCAGGCTATGAGCAGAGCAAAGCTGCACCTACACTCTGCATGCCCACGTGCTCCCACTCTTCATGCCTGGTCACATACATACGTTCATACAGAGAGCGACTGCAATGTTTGGGTTCAGCAAAATAGAGAAGTTAAAGAAACATTAAAGTATGTATTTAAATGCCTTCCTCCATAGGGGAGGAACTTCAGGGAGATTTTCTTTTAATATCCATTGCAACCAACAGAGAAACATATTCTCTGGTATTCTAGAAGAAAAATCTCCTTTCATTTTTTCCCTGTAGTTGGTTTTCCCCGCTTCTTCCTCAACACTCTCCCAAGTGTACTGTTCTGAAGAAAGCAGTTGAGGAAAAGTTCCCAAATTACCCTGTCCTTTTTCCTACAAGATTTATTTACTCCCCTCCCACCCTTACACACAATGGCACAACCTGGATTATTTTATTTGCTAAAAATATTGCCTAGTCCAAAAATAAGCAATCTTTTGCTCACCTATTAGTGCATTACATACCTGAGTCAAAGATTTTAAGTCCTAACAGTTTTACAAACTTCATCAGTGCAAATGACTCAATGGATTAAGAACTTTACACCACCTAAAACACGTTACAAACACTTTAAAAGCAATGAAAATTATCAGAATCTGAGTGCACATCTCTGGCCATGCCACATCAGCAAGTAGCACAACACAGCAGAAGCTGAGCCTGCAAACTGAAAGCCAGTGCTGAGGATCCAACATCCACCTTGAGATTTTTACTTTGGGCTACTTCTGGTTTGGATGTACGGACTGAAGCATGTGCTAGCAGCTGGCATGCATGAGCCGAACACATCTTCTCACTGCCTGCCCTCTCTGGGAAGTGAGCCACAGAGTGCGAAGAGGGGACAACTGGAGATCCACTTCAAAGCATGTTGCAGAAATCAAATTAAATGCTGCTGTGGCTAACTTGTGCCCATCAAATCTAAAGATGATTTTAAGTTTGTCAGTAACCACAGCAACTTATTTCAATATGCTTATTCTCATCACCACTGCTGTTTCCCTGCTGTATCCCTTCCATGCCCCACTCTGGGCTTGCATGAGGAGCTGTGCCTGCCACCAAACAGGACTGCAATTCAACACATACAGGCCTTCACAGCAAGCAAGCAGCATTGATTTACTTGTTTCTACAAATGCAGTCTTCTCTGCCCAAAATACATAGATTTTGGGCAGCGAAAAAAAAAAAATCTTTTCATTTCCATATTAATGGAAATTATTTAATTTCCATATGTTTGGCATTATATCCATACATTCAATATCCTGTAGAAAATACTTTAACCAAGCTTAACATATTGGAAGAGCAGAAAACTTAGGCTGGAGTTTCTTTTTAGGCTTTGAGGCTCCAGTGATCCCATCCACAATATTATAAAAGTTCAATCATTTTGCGTGTGCTGGCCCAGGCAGAGGAAGCCTGTGTTTTCCAGTCAGCGATGTATTTGTTTGACATTAACATACAGTGGGAAACAGCCATGTGGAAACCCTGAGCAATAATGTGCGAGTAAGTCCTGTAAAAAGCAGCATTAGCATACTTTTACAAATCTGAATGACAATTTAGTAATTGGATCCAGGGGCTTTTCCACACAGGCTTCTAGACCCATTGGCACACCAGTGTGGGAAGAGCTTCCTGGAGGCTGCTTATGCTGCTTCTGTGGTGCAGTTAACAGCAGGCATCAGGCTGCAGGCAATTCAGGGGACACTTTCACTGGCAGCTACAAGTCATTAAAATAAAGGGGAAAATGTTTCTAAAAAAAAAAATCCTAAAGAACAACATGCAAAAAAATAGACTCTAGGAGGTTTGAACAACATAAAGCTCTTGGAAACTGTTTTTGAACTGTTAAATTTAAATTAAAAGAATATTAAGAATATTAAATTTATTTAAAGAATCTAAGTGTCTGGTCTGATTTGAAAAACACACACATCAGCTTTGCCAAATGAAGTTCTTCCTCAACCCTCAAGCCTTAATAGAATTTCATTTTCTTTCCTTTAAACAACAACAACAAAAAAATAATAAAATAAATAAATAAACAATCCCTACCAGTACATTAGACAGGCTTGGGTTTTCACTAGGCATGGCACAAAACAGTACATACAGGGGGTCTTGTCCTATTCCCTCCCCACCTGCAGCTCTCAGCTAGCTTTATACAAACACCAGGCTGAACATGAGTCCCCTTCTGGCATCAGTTACATCTCACACGCTGCATCTTTACTCTGTTCACAGGGTGCCCCAACTTCTGATAAGTTAAAGTGATCCTGGAATCCAGGCCAGGCTTTCAGGCACAACTTCTCTACTAGCTTGGATCAAGAAGAGATGTGCAGTACACTTTCCACAGCCAGTTGACATTGGATTCCCATAACACCACAAGTTAAGAAATAATAAAATAATGGTTAAGTTGTAGTCTGACTAGAAGTGCAGTTGGGCATCCAGGGAAAAAAAAAGTGTATATATATATATATATATACACACACATACTGACCTAGGAAAAAAACATTATGAAAGAGAAATGTGTATATGACAGAAAAAAAAAAATTACATTTCCAAAAACCTATGTGAATATAAAAGAATAAGTATTTTGCTTTGAGAGCATTTTTTGTTTTGACAAAATTAGCAGGGTGTTTCTCCATCTACCTTAAAACAAGCAGTGCTTAACTACCGTAAGACTTCAGTCCACATGACTTTACAACTCCAAAAATCTGTCTGAGTACCAGGTTGTGCTGGTTTAGGAAACTTTTAAATTCTGCACTGAATTTAAACTTGTATAAACCTCTTCTTTCAGTTTGTTAGTGACTTATATCAATCCAACCTAAATAAAGCACTACATACTCAGAAACAAGTGACTACTATTGTTCATATAAATAAAACAAAACTCATAACACAGTTCAGCCTTTGCAGCCCTTTCTTTATAACCATTTGATTAAATAAGTGAAAGTACTCGGTACACAACATTTCTTTTAACCAGAAAAAAAAAAGTCCCAGATGGTTGATGTCTTTAAGAAATAGATATTTTATACAAGCCAAAATTAAGATTCAAATGTCATGAATAAAGTAATTCTCTCTTCAGTGACTGTGTTGCTCCAAAAATAATTCAATGCAGTATTCTTGTTAAATATGGAGAAAAGTGTTTCCTTTAGAAGAGGAAATTCCCTTAAGGAAGTTGTTTTAAGATAAATAAAAGTTCAGGATGAAGCCAGCAAAAGGTGTGAAGGATTTCTCTTTGATTTACCAGCTTGTGTATTTGGGCTCAGACACAGACTACATTTTATGCACATATTAATAGGATGCTAATAAGCCTACAACTCCACTTTAACAGGGACCTGTAGAGACAACCTGATATGTGGCACCAGATATATTGGCCCTCTTAAACAGAAGATTTATTTCCTTCTTGTGCAGGGAGAGAATCAGATTACATATTTTTAATTACAAGTTCAGATGAAAACGCTTTGCAGAGTCAGACTATTACTTTTGTTAGGATCTTTCTCAGTTAAGGAAACCTTCAAAAGATCAAGTTAAACGCCAAGACTTTTAGAGTAACTACTTGCAGTTTTTACTCTTTACTGGGAATATTATACACAAAATAAGGCCGCTGAGTTGTAAACCTGCTTACTAAGTCATGAAAACGATTCTAGTATCAAAATCATGAAGCACAAGAATTGGCAGAATGTCTGCTACATTGAAGTGTTTGCTACATTTCATAGAAACGTTTGAAAGAGATCCTAGTTAGTTTTAAACATCAAAGGTATTTCAAAGTTACATCTTTTAGTGTTCTTTTTTTTAAAAAAAAAACTACATCTGCAAAATGTTAAAAAAAAAAAAAAAAAAAACAAACATTAAAAGAGAAATAAAAAGCTAGATAAGGCTCATCTCATCTATGTACATATATCCTAGTTTATAGTTATCCTTAAAAAAAAATCCAGAAATTTTATTGAGTAGTATCTTAATTAAACCACACATTCAAACAAATTTTCTGTACATTTTTTCCTTGCAAAGCAACTTCTCAAAATTTCAACTTGTTTTTTTTTTTTTTCATAGTTCTAATACAGCAAAGATAGATTTGAACAAATTTGCTTTCATTATTAGAATAAAGAAAGACTAAAAAAAGTTTTGCTTAAAAGTCACATACGAATCAGAATAATTTAAAAACCCAAGTGGCTTCCATTTAAATTTAAAATAAAAATTCTGTGAAACGATTATCTTGTTCTTAGCTTGTTAACACAGAAACTTATCTCTTGTATTAACTGCTGTTTTAACATAATATTAAAAAAAATATATATATATAGCACAGATCTTCATTTAAATTAGAAAAATCAATAAGACAACTTTTTTTTTTCTTTTCTTTTTCCAATCTATAGTTGTATTTCCAGACTGGTCAATATGTACATGGCTAGACACTATTAAAACAGCATACAGATACCTTCTCCTAGCCTGGGAAGGTTCTCAGCTTTAAACTTATTTTGTCAGCTCAAGACTGCAGTGACAATATTTGGCCCATTTGATTTCAGCAGCCAATAAAAACAGGCAATTGCCAATTACCGGTTACTTTTCTTTGTCAGCTGGAAGGAAGTCTGGTGGCTTTCCTATTTTTAATGCAAAAGCCAATAGACAAGTAGAGTTCTGAAATTACAAAGCAATGCAGTAATTTGAATGTTGGCTAATATGGGATTCCCCCACCCTGTCCCACCGTTTCTACAAGGCAAGTTTCGTTTGTTTTCTTAACCTTCTTCTCAAGGAGACTGATCTCTCGACTGTGTTCAAAATGCACTTGTGCCTATGTCATTGACTTCAAATGATCCGTGTGAAAGTAACCACACATATACTGAAATGATGCTCCCAGCACTTCTCCAAAGATGCTGTTCCTCCCATACATGCCACAGCCATCATTGTACAAGGGTTCCTTTTTTTACAAAGTTGTTCATTTTTGAATCTCACCTGCCCTTCTGGCCACTGATGAGAAGTCTCTCACCCTCCTCCCACCTGAACTCCAGCTTTGAGAAGGCACGCAAGAAGGTCCCATGTTTCAGGCCACAGATTCTCTTGCAGATAGGGGAGGACAGCTGCAGGGGACTGTCACAGTGTCTGGAGGGCTGTGCTGCTCTGACTGTGTGACTGGGTACTGTTGCATTCAAAGATTAGCAGCAAGTCAAATAACCACTGATATCTCCTGCACATCCTCTTCCGTTTCTTGGGTGTATCATCAAAATAGCCAGGGTGCAAGCTCAAGGGAGGAACACCTAAGAAAACAGGAGAGCCATAAAGCAGAGCTCAGTGAACCACAGAGACTGCATGCAGAAGTACATACATACCAATGTAACGTACGTCCAAATGCACTGCAGGCTGCGTTCTGTACTGGAGGCAGTGAGATGTGAAGTGCATGTGTGCCTGCAGCACTTGGGCAGGTGTTCCCCTTCTTTTGGAAGCCTTTCATCCAAAGAGGCTTGTTTATGCTGCATACCACCTCTCTCAGCATTAACCACATACACAGCCCACTCCATGGCAATAGAAAAACAAACCGTAAAGACAAGGCTGATTTATGCTCAAGTGGACTTGGTGAAGTAAGGAAACTGACCTTGGCAAAATCACCTCACAGCACCTCAGAAATGCTCATGTTTTTTAGCTGTCCTGCCATGGAAACACATTTTTCACAAGTGAAGCTGAATCTTAGCAACCCACAAGAGCTTTAGAGGGTCTGGAAGCAGCAGTGTCCTGTCTAGAACAAAGATAAATAAATAAATAAGCAAAACCAACAGCAGCAACAACAAAAACAACTAAAAGTAAGCAAACAATGAAAATTCACAACGATATAACAGCTTAATTTTCTTTTTGGTATGGGACTATATATGTTTACAGTAATAATCTTGCTTTCACTCCCATCATAAAAGTGTATTTTTCTCTCACCACAGAGAAAATCTATGGCTAAGTGAAAATCACAAATGCCATTTTTCTCTGTGAAGACAATTCGTATTTTAGAATATAAGATCATCAGGGTATAAAAAGGTATTATATATAGTTTCAATATTTTAAAACCTAGAGAACAGAAGAAGCAGCACTCTTCGTTATTTATAAAATAAAGGACCTTCTGTTTGGAAAGTTTCTTCTTCCTCTGATTTTTATGTAATTTTAATTTTTGAAGAAGTTTTAAACTAATAACTAAACAGGAAAGCAAATTGCAACCATTCAATCTACACATTCATCTTACAGTGTCCCATCACTCTTTATTCACCACGGTAAGATATGCCTATAAGAATTGATGCAGTTCACCTATGTTGCCATATACTGACTACCCTTCCTGTAGTTTTCCAGTTTCCCCTTCTGCCAGAAAAATATAGATTGCTGGCATCATTACAAATGTGGCAAGACCAGTAACCACAGGAAAAGCAATAAGCAGAATCTGAATTAGGAATGTGCCACATGAAGAGCCCTGTTTTGAGCAGCATTTGAAATGCTTGCTTAACTTGAGGTGTGTAAGTACCAAAGATTGCCCTGAGCAGGGATGCTTTCCCTTCCTGAGCTGAGGCCAGAATGATTGCTTAGTTCTGTAACAGATGAACAGACAAATACCTCCAGTAGAACTACCAAATGCTCCATTGACCTTTCCTTTCATTTAAGGAGTACACATCACACACCTGTTTTGGTTTACTTATTTTTTTTCTTTGGAGTCCTCAGGTTGATTAATTATATTCAATGCCACAATGATTCACCTAAAATTTCACAACAAATGCATACTTAAATAAAATTTAAAAAATAAAAATAAAAAAAAGAGAGAGAGATCTGACACCTGTAGGCTTAAAAATAAAGTTCAGTTGATGCCTATGAGAAAATTACGAATGTTTGGAAGAACCTATACTTGATACGAATGTTATTTATTGAATTGTGCATTCTCTTCTTTTACTTGCCATTATATTATGGAATTAGGAATGTCTAAACTTCTTCACAGAAGGCATCTGAAACCATGTTCTACCATTTGCAATTACATTAAAAGAAACAAAGTACAGGGGGGAAAAAAAAGGAAGACCATTATTCCCAATCCTGTGGGAACCATGTAATCACATTTAATACACTCCCAATCAACAAAACATAGGATGAAAGAAACACTCAGGCTCACACACTTTCCACCACATTATGTGTCGAACCGTAAGAATACCACACTAAAATAAATAAATAAGTATGAGATGTTCCCAAAGGATCTGTAACATTGAAAAACCTGCTTACCCTTTGTCTTAATTTTTGGAAACAAGCCTCCTAATTTCTTGTTATGGGGTTTGACTAGACTGGTAGTGCCAGCCAGTGCACAACAGGTGGGTTTTGCTGGAGCATGGCTGAAGAGACAGGAGGGCTTTACTAAAGCATTAATCAAAGAAGAGCCCATGGAAGCTGTGAGCAGCAGATGAGCCACCTGCATAAAACAATGCTAATAAGGGAAAGACTTACATAACAAATATGACAAAGTCCTGTAAAGTAAGTGACAGATGAAAAGGAAGATATGTATTGCACACTGGTGGTCTGTGGTAAGAATATGGAAATGGAGTGTCACCTTATACAACACTGTGATGGGTAAGGTATAAAACTAGGATCAGAAAGCATGGAAGCTTTGTATTGGTAAAACAGTGCTTTTGAGATGTGCCTTTTCACAAGCACATCTGCGTTGTCTGCCAGGTCACAACTGTGCAAAGGCTGTGCTTTACTGAGACTAAAGCTGGCAGAGCCTTTGCCATAGAAGCAAGCTCAGGGTCATTTTCTGGTACTCAAGTATAGCCCTGAGGTCTCTGGAGAGGAGAACCATCAGCGTAGCAGGGTCCTAGGAGGACCCTGAGGGACCCACCACCACAAAATGCAAAAGACATCACGACCTAGTGATGCCTTTGGTCCAGATCATGTTGTTGCAAGGAGGGAACTCTGATTGCTGATCTTTCTGCTGCAGCCTACCAAGGACCTGGCACATGAATAATGCTGTAGATTTGCAAGCAATAGCGAAACTATACTTCTCAGTATAGGGAATGCCCCCAAGCTCTCTACCAGAATAGTTCAGCTCTTATGACTTCTTTGCAGTGCTCTGGTGCCTCTGAACCCCACAAGATTCAGTGCAAAATTATTCAGACAGAGTAATTACCTAACACAAAATGTGAGCACCTCCCCACAGTGAGATTACAAATCGGTGTGGCCGAAGCACAGCTATGCCATCAAAATGCACGTTGCATGCTGTGCATGCTGTTAACCCAATAAACCCCATTGCTGAACGTTGCCACAGGAAAAGTCAGCCTTCAAGGACTGCCCAACAAAGGCTGAGGGGCTTACATTGAGGTAGAATGGAAATGCTTGTGCGACAATATTATGCACTAACAGATGGTACTGTCTTCATGTTTCTTCCTGTATCCTTGTTTAATTGATTTGCATGGATTTATCAGGAACCATCAAATTCCTCATAGTGCTTAGACAGTTTACATACCAGGAAAACGGTGCTAGTCTTCCAGAAACAAGTCTCCTATTCAAGTAAAAGTGCACAACATGATTGATTCATTCACTGTTCCTCTACATAGACTATGCAGATGAACTGAATTTTCAGTTTAGCAGAATTTGATAGCAGTTGCTTAGAATATAATTTCCCATGCCCAAATGGGCGTAGGTTTTGGAAGGGGAAGTTGTAAAGCATGGAATGAAAAGTCCTGATGGAAGTCCCTTAAAAACAAACAAAGAAACAAAAAATCTGGCATTTGGTTTAGGTTTTCTAATTTTCCTTTTTCATATTAAAGTTTGGGAAAAGGAAAAAAAAAAAAAAATCAGCATTCCACCCACCAAACTAAATGTAACAATAATAAACGTAACAAACCTCAAATTTTAAGACCAGAAATAAAACAAAACAGTTGGCTTGCACAGGAGTGATGAGTTTTTATGCTCTGATATCCAGAGGCTTTGTCTCAGGCTGTTGAGCAAAGTTGCTGCTTGCACTGTTCGAATGTTCGAACTTTTTGTTGTTGGTGTTGTTGTTGTTGTTGCAGGTTTCCTTAAACAGTGACCAAAGCTTTTTTTAAAAAGAGGGTTGTAATGGCTTTGGACACCTAGTTAAGCGGCCTGTTTCCCCAAAGTGCTGATGACCCAGGAGCTCCTATTCACTTCAAAGCGTAGGATTTCGGAATGTTTGTTGCTTTAAGATTTATGGTCTCTCTACATCCTAACTGAGAGATTCAAGAAATTACAACTAGTAGCTCATCTCCATTAAAATTAGAAAGAAGCGCTAGACTGATTTGTGGCATCTATTCCAGAGGCCAACACGTTCATGTCTTCACAGACCCTGCAAGTGGAATAACTAGCGTGAAGAAATGAAGATAGCGCAGAGAAAGATTTGCTAAGGGTAAACAGGGCAATTCACTGCAAAACCCATGAGCTGACAGAAGCAGCCACAGCAGATGAGAGAGGAAAGGTGGGAGATGTTTCTGCCTGCAAGCTAGCACTAAGCGAACAAAATATTGTTTAGATCACTGCTCTGACTATATTCCAGTCAGAGAGCCAGCTTAACAAGATTTTGTAAATGCAGAACCATAAGCTTGGCAATAACAATCCAGGACGGCATGTGGAAATTCATATCTAAACAAAATAATACCACAAGGAGCGAAAACTTCCACACTGGATTGTTCCCAAGTTCTTACAGAAAATGAAACAAGTTTAACAGCAAACATTTCAGAGGACTTTCTCCTCTTCTGAGGAAAAAAAAAAGTAGTAGTTACTGAGGAGGAAGAGTCCATAAAAGGATGCCAGTGTTAGCGACTTGAGTGACAGACAGGAAGGAGATTTCCACAATTGGCATTTGGTGAATTGCGAGCTATAAAAACTGTTTGGAGTTCGGTGGGTTGTCTGAGGTTTCTAGGCACGGCAGTTTAATTCTGTCTGTTACTAACAGGTCTTGTTTTATTTAAAAAGATTTATTTCAGAATTTCTTCATATATCATATTAGAGGAATAAAAAAGGGAAGAAAACCAAACTTCTTGCTCTTAGTAGGCTACATTTTCAGTGACTGCATGATAATTAGTTTTTTTTCCATCTCACATACTCTGCATCTATCATTACAAAAAAAGTTACTTACACTTGTAATTACCATTGCAAACTGCCTTCCTTCCCTTTTGCCTGATTAATTTAGCTTTTATTCTACTGAGTGTTATACATGGTAATTTTTTGCTTTTAAATCTGCTTAGTATTTACTATTATGCATAAACTGCTGAAACATGTTTGCATCTATGCTGAAGCCTAACCTTAATAATCCAGGCCCTCAGAGTTTATTTGTCCATTTCAGCTGAACTGAAGTGAAATCCTTTCCTGTACCAAAAGAAGGACAAGTATAAAGCTCTGTAGGCAGTCTGAACTCAGTGTCTGATTGAAAAGAGTGCACCTCTAAAATATTTAGACTAGGAAAAAGGTTTCAGGACAAAATATTTGTAAAGTCTTTTTGAAAGCAAATTCCTTCCCTAACCCAAAGTATTTCATCCACCTGATGAGGTAGAGGTAGGGGGAAGAAATTTGTCTTTTCTCTTCTTGTAGCACAAAGTCATATCATAAGAACAGACGGAAATCTCGAGAGAGACAGATAAATTTTTAAGGCTTAACATTCAGACATTAGAAGACAGGGTTAAAACAAAAACAAAAAACTGCTTTCTTTGTTGTTAATATGACAATGTGTAGTGGTCTGATTCAGAGGAAAACTTTCGCAAGTGTCACTGCTCTGTTCTGTTGAAGGAAGCACACTGTCTGACATCAACTCTGCTGAACTAATGGCTCTAAAAAGGCATTTTTTGACATCGGCCATCAAACTGCATCTCTTAATCCGATTTCTCACTCTTTTTGACTATGTTGTTTCTTGTAACAACCAGACTTTCCAACAGTGTTCCCTAGCTTGAAAATTGTATTAATCTTCAGTAATAGAAACCATGTAGATCCTCCACTGAACACACCAGTCTTATTAAAAGTAATAAATATAGAGTGCAACCTTCTTGTTATGTTACCCTCCCCAACATCCTCGAATCCCCCAGCTTCACACTTTTTTTTTCTTTTTTCCTGTTCATGATTTTGTTTGAGCCTAAAATCAGATATTTGAATCTGAACTCTGTTTCTGAACTTCTTTACTCAGCAAGTCTTGGTAGCATGCATACTTAACATTTCTCCACCCACAGAGACCCTTACACATTTTAAGGTGGTGCTGGGAAAAAAATGCCTCTCTCATCAAGTAATTTATTCTTGGCAGGTCTTTTGTTAACTACTTGTGTGTCAATAAAGTATGAAATATATATATATAGCTTGGACAAATGAAAGATAAAATAGAGAACTGAAGGAGTCTGACTTATTTTGCAAGCTGAAACTATTTTAAATTATAAAAGCCCTTTGAATAGTCATTCCACGTATTTGTTTCATTGTCTTTAAAAGGGAATAGACAGACTGATCTTTCATATATATCTAAGAAACTTATCTGCACTATATTGAAAAAAAAAAAAAAAAACAGTTAATATAACTAAGACGATGCATACCTTTTATTTCCTTGTAGTGTTGTGGAATTCTCAGGAGCAGATACATACTGACACTTGCATTTGTTAAAACTACTTGTTGGCTAAATTGGAAATTGAGATGAGCTGTACCCAGAATGCCCATAATAAGTAAATAGGAGCAAAAATACCTCATACAGAATCATTTAAAAAGAAACGTATAGAAGTCTCAAATCAGTAATAACTGCTGGAGGGTCATGCCTCCTGAGGGGGAAAAAAAAAAAAAAAAAAAAAAAAAAAAAAAAAGGAAGACTCCATCAGATTTAGCCCAAGAACTTTTCCCCTTCCTCAGTTTCTGGAAGTTTATTTTCTCTATTCTCAATTAGGAAGAATTAAGGTGGGTTTTCTTTTTCAGATGATGACATACTGCTAATCTGCACACACTATTATTTGCATATTTTCAAAATCCACAGTTTTATGTAACTACAAATATCTATTTATCTAAAAATATATATGTATCTATAACTACCGAATATCTATAACTATAAATATCAGAATTTATTTATTTATTTATTAAACACTTCTGGCAAGTACAGAGATTCCCCAGCAGATGGCAACATTGATCTGGCTTTGATGCAGTAATACCTGGTGCCCACTCACCTACCCAGAAAGGATACACCCACAGCAACAGATCTTCCCTCCCTTGAGCTTCAGAAACCTGCATGCCTTGAAGCCCTGTTTCACTACGTACACATATATTTTTTGAGCAAAGCTTACTCTTTGTTTCTACATTCTGCTCGAGTCTCCATGAGTTTCAATTACTAACTGCCTTAATGTATATGTTCCTTTATGTCACACATCTCCGACAAAGGTGTACAGAGAAGTGATTATAGCTACCTAATATGCTAAATAACAATGTGTACTCAGAGATACAGTACAAGAAGGAAAAGAACTCACAGGACTTCGCTTTCTGGAAGAAAAGCAGAATCAAACTTTCAATAGAATGAAAGGTGGCTTTTAACTGTATACTATTACTGTCTCTGGCACTAAAAAATTGTAGCTGTCATGCTACTGCATAGAACTGTTATGCAAACTTAACAATTGTTCTTGGACTACAGGTAAATCTCTTCTAGTTATCAGCAATGCTTGAGTTGAGAGATATGGAAGTCTGCCCCTGATTTCCCTCTGTGCTCTGTTAGAGGAAATGCTGGAGTTAAGTATTAACTGTAAGAAGGTATTAAGAGAGCATCCCACAACGCTGACTACAAAAGGGTTTTAAAGTTCTTCTGACATTCCATGTATTTGCATATGTCATTACGCAAATAAATACTGATGAATACAGTGCCTCTAACTTTTAGGTTAACAAAGGTCAGCTATTGTTTGATGCACAGGTGAATACACTAAAAATGGTAAAATAACTCCCTATAAGCCTTCCTCTGCCCACTGTCATCTGTCTGTTGAAAATAATGAATGCCACAGCACTGTAATAGCAAGATAGTACACGTAAAGGTCTCATCTCATTTCCCTTAGTTTTAATAAGAATGCACAACAGGAGAGGTGCTGTTTTTTGTTTGTTTGTTTGTTTTTTTCTGGGGACTGTCTTCAGAACTAGGCTAAATGGTCCATTTTTTCCTCTTTCCCACGCAGAGATAAAGGATAAACAAATGAATTAAAGAAATGGGTAAAATAACCACAATAAATTTTACCACAGGTAAAATGAAGCACAACCAGTGATATCAGAATCAGTTCTCTTATCATCTAAACCAAGGAATTACTTGGGCACTCCATCAACAGAGGAACTCCCTTTGCACCAGGGTACTACACAAGGGAGTTCCAGCCTTTGGGCAACTGAGACATTTCACTGCTAATTAAATCTTTAAATCCAGCAGAATCAGTTACCTGAAAACCGATTTTAATGATATTATCTGATCCATCAGGTCTTGTTTAATTACACCTTCTTTGTCCTCATTGCTAAATGCTGATCTGCTGTTTTTCTTCTTCTCTTTGTCACCTTTGATAGCCCCCTCTTGCCTGTGGTTGTTCTGCACAAAGAGATATCAGTGTCAGAAAAGGGAAGCTGTACAGTTGTGGCAATGGATACACACTGCTCTTCTGGTGATGCTTACCTTTGCTGATATACAGTTCTGAACTTTGATAAATACATGCAATTCATACTTCTGATTGAGTGTAGATTTTCATTCATACTTTTCATTTTGCTACTATTAAGCAATAGCACAGGCTAATAAACTATTTCAAAGTATAACAAGTAGCATCAATGCTGTTTCTAAGGCTTTTGGTAACTGACCCCAACATGCCTGCCTGGGTTTGTAACCCTAGCTACAATTTCAATAGATAACCAGAATGATGCTAGAACTTGGCTGGGCTTTTGCATGCTAAGCAGACTTCAAAAACCAACAGCCTGCTTCAGGTTCTCAAACATCTCCAGTAAATTGCTGTTGAAATTGTACATATTTAAGAACCAATTAACACTCAGCAGACACTCTATGCAGCTGTACAGAACAGAGTTTTACAGCCCAAACCCTGCAAGCTGCACCAGTAAACTACAAAGATTTCCTCCTATACAACCTATAAATCCTGCTGAAATACAGGAACTGTTGCACCATGTGTGATGCTATAGTATACCAGGGACATCCATACAGGTAGGCAGATATGACACAGGACCTGCAGGACATGGGAAACAGCTGGAGCTGGAGGGATATCCTGTGGCAGTAAAACAGCACTAGTTGCTCATCCAAAGGGAAAGCATTAATTTACTTCATAATACAAGAAGTAAACTATGTTAGTTGGTTGAGTGCACGTTGTGCGTTTTGAAAAATCTAGAATTTTACTGGAATGTCAAAATTACATTTCTTAGACTACATGCAAAATTAGAAGCATGAGTTTTTAAAAACGTTTCACCAATGTCTCACTTAGACCAGACTTCTCTGAAGAGCAGCACTACCTGACTGAACAAGGTGTCTGTCAGACTTTCTGTAAGTTTTAGAAAATAGAAAGCATCCCAGGCAAGCACAATGCACAGGTTCAGGATAAGACCCTGACAAGCTCTGTTTTTTGATGTCTAGATTGGAATGAGTTGTTTAATGCCATGAACACAAGTCAGCTCTTTGTCCAGCACTGACTTATGATCTCAGCTCTGGCTTGAGGAACTAAAGTACTCAAGTACCACATAAAGGAAAATTTAATGCAATTTAATGAATTCTATCAGTGACATTATTTTTTCTTGGTTTATTTTAAACTACCAATAGCTCAGCATTCATCTCTGCCTTAGCCAGATAACCCCCAGGGCTCATTGATTTTTTAAGTGTCATTCCAAGAAGCAGACCCTTCAGAAAGCAATCCTGTTTTCCCAAACCATAAAAAGCCATAGCTTTTGTGGCATAAAAAGCCATAGCTTTTGTGGCAATGCTTCTGGTGGTACAAGCTCACACACCAGTCAAGAGGCAACACAAAGCAGTTAAGAACATGTACATTCACTTGCTCCTAGCAAATGCTATTTGAGACTACGTCTGAACACACTTTTCCCATTTGCAGGAGATGGAAGTCTGCAAAGAAAATAGTTACAATCTCACAGGGGTACCTGTCATTACCGAAAACGTTTCTGTGCAACTTTGCTTCTTCCTTCGCCCACTGGTGCAATTTGTTGCTATGAAATCTCAAGAATGCCAGTGACTGATTTTGAAAGTCGTTGCATATCTGATGTGTATCTAATAAGCAGCAAAAGGAAGCAGATGCAACAAAAGACAGCAAAATAAAAATGACAGGCATACAGAAAGAAAATTTGGTTTGTTTAGGAAAATAAAATAAATTAAAAACACCACTACTTCCTTCTCCTGCTTATTTGCAAAATCCATCTCTTTGGCTAAACACCAAAGTAGTGCTCAATAGGCACATTGCTCACAGTGGGGAGAATCCTGCCCGCATTGTAAGCGATCCTTTGCTACCAAGGACACGAGCAAACATGCATAATCCTGGCTGTTCCCACCCTGCAGAAAGGTCTGCAGGCACCCACTGAGCTGAGAAGCCCAGAATGCAGCCTTGGCACAGAACCTCCCAGCCCTCACCCCCAAGGATTAGGCAGTAACAGTGCCTGGAGTGAAGAAACACACCAACCGTACCTTATGGCTTCAAGAGCATTTTGTTAGAGGAGAGGGCTAAGGGAAGAAAATTAAAATCAGTATTGATAATTAACCCATTCCTGTTCTAACTTCTAAATCCAACATTAAAGTGCTCTGGGCAGTGAGGTGAAGCAAACCTTTACAGTCCTACCAAAAGCAGTGAGTTGAATAAGCACCAATTGCACTATTGATTCAGACGAACATTCTCCCACACTGGATTAATGTTGAATGACACAGGGATCTCCTGCCTCAAAAAGGAAGAGACTGATGGATGGTACAGGTAGTCGTATTCTTCAGAGGCAAGATGATCCTACTGAAAACCACACAGACAGATTTATGAGAGAAATGGAACAGTGCCATGGACCTTTTGTTCTTTTTGCCATAGCCCTTACTTCAGTATTTTATTACCACCCCCCACCACTCCCCCCAAAAGATTAAACAAAGATCTTAGGTGTGCAAAATCACCTGAATCACAACACATATAAATCAAGGGCCTGAATCTACAGAAGTCAAAAGAGGCATACCCTTAAATTGAGGCAACACCTGGCACTATTCCATCTTTCCCATCATTTAAGGCATTCAGCTCACAGTCTGGAATTCACAAGTCCAAGTCATACAGAAAAACCTACAATATGCAGTGGTGCTCCTGCCTACTCTTCTTCATGTCAGCCCTATTTTTCTATTTTCACCTTGCAGCAGTTCCCTGATACCCCATTTGCCTCCTCCCACACAGAGGTTCCCGACAGTACCATTCCGAGACAATGCTATACACTTTCTGGAGCTGAATTCACATCTCAGTGACACTGTTAAAATAACAGACATAGATTACTTCTGATGAAGAGGGAGCACTGCAAGTCTGTGCCTATTCACCTCTTCCCTACCAACACAGTTCAGAAGTTTATGTATAGCTTTCTGCACCTTTGCAGCACTAAGTATAAACAAAAACAATTAAACCATCACAAGAAACTTTTCTGGACCAAGACAATCTAAGATTCCTTTGAAGCTTGTCCAGCACAAATCTTCACCTACAACACTTAAGATTCTGCATGCAACATGTCTTTTACTGTAAGTTTCCATACCTCCTGCAATACCAGCTGAGGGGAATTCAGTCTCAAAACAGGTGAGCAACAACTCAATAGGTGTTTGTTGTAGGAAAAGGAAGTAACATAAGCAATAGAAGACTGCCATCACATCAAGGTGAGTTATGTTGTGTAGCATCCTGGCATGGACACCAGGAAAAACAGAAAAGTATTCAGAAGATATTCTGAGATACCTGTCCTTCTTTTACACAATCTAAACTTTGCCCTGAGTAAACACAATTGCTAAGAAGTCTCTGTAAATGCACTCTTAAATCCAAGTAGGAATCTGCTGGATGGCATGCAAATGGCCAAATTCTGATTAGTCTAGTGCTGAATTATTTACCTGCTGTACAAAAGGTACTGTGTTGAATCCACGCAAAACAACATTGCCTTGTGTCAACACTGCTTCATTCCCTTCTGTGGTAGGTGATGTTCTGGCTACCTTTTCTAAAGAATTTAAACAAAGCCCCACAGAAAGTACACATTGTAGTCCTAACCTCAGTACTTTATCATTCTCCTCCCATCTCGATCCCCCCCCCCCCCCAAAAAAAATAAAAAATAAATTAAACACAGATCTTAGACGTGCAAAATCACCTAAATCAAACACACATAAATCAAGGGCTTGAATCCACACAAGTTTAAATAGACATACACTTAAATTGAGGCAACACCTGGCACTGCTCCATCTAGTATTTCAGGCATTCAGCTCTCGGTCTGGAATTCACAAGTCCAAGTCAGACACCAAAACCCACATCCATCATGCTTCAGTGAGCCTGAGGATGAAGTCCTGGAGATGTGCCCTCTCACAGGTACACAGACATTTCCCATGCCCTGACTGCAGAGGGAAAAATAGATCCTAAGTAACAAAGTACCTAAGAAGGTTTCTCAAATCTGCACTCAGATGTTTCACTATAAATCTTGATTTAACCAAAAAGGGCCAATAAAAAGAAGCACGGCTCTGTTATCTCTGATAGTGAAAACTGTCCAAAGTTGGCAAACTTTGTATAACAGGCTAGTAGCAGTTAATTCACTCCCTCTGCATGAAGGAGTTCAAGCACACATCCTTTTACCTTCCAGGAGAGCAATGTAACAACCACGTTGTTGACTAAATTCCATGAGAATATTTCAACTCTCTTCTCTGTTAGACAAGGTGAAGATGGCACATGAGGCTATAACTTTAGCCTATAGCAAGTGCATCAGCCAGGTAGAGAGGAATCTTGCTTTTTACTTGCTTCTTAAACTAAGTGGTTTCTCTTTTAATTACAGTAATCTGACAAGAAAGAGCATTTCACAAGCAAGATTTCCTCTTCCAAATCCTAGTTTCAGAGCTCCACACAAACACGCAGACTCCCGCATACACAAAGCTTCCCCTGAAAATAGAAGAGCCACTTTTGAAACTGGAGCTCCACAAGCCAGGCCACAGTCTCACAGAAAAAGCATTTACTGCTCACAGACAAGCAATAAAAATACCCCTTAGGCAACTGTTCAAACTGTGAAAAGAGACTGAGTCGCATGAGCTTTACTTGTTCCCTTCACACACACAGATTCCTCAGCAGATGAAATGCAAGAAAGAAGGACCCTATTAGTATGCTCAGGAAGCAGTAGCTCGGGTTTGCCAGCCTTTTACCAGGCAACATGGTCAACATCAAGCAGAACAAGTCACCATCACCAAACAGGTAATGTAATTAGATGCGGTTTGGGAATTTTCCATACATTGGCACAGGAAAATGTTGTAAAAAACATCACAGCAAAGGGTAACAAACTCCTAGGAAGGTAACTAGGCTGCATAAGGAAGAGCAGATCCTAAACAATAAACGAAGCTGAGATCACTTAGAAAAAGCCTATACAAGTCCACAAGTAAACTGGGTGGATGAATTACTGAAGACCTAACTTTTGTGTGCTTGTCCTCTCAATATCAACATGTATGTGTATGCAACTTCCTAGGGCACTATTTTCAAAAAGGAAAAAGTGAATGCTGCCTTCCACCCAGCTTCTCAAAGAAATGACACTCTGTGTGCATCATGTTTTCCCCCCACACCAGCCACCAGCAGGATCAGGACAGTCTGGGTGCCTGCACAGACCCAACTGAAGGAAGCAACTGTCTGTAGTGCCAGGTTGTCACTTGCTGCCCGAGTCAACCCCAGAGGAGCCAGGACAACCATTTACTTCTAGGTCTTGCAGAGGTTTGCCAGCTCTCTCAACACAGTCTATTGAGTTCTGTCAGCTCCAAGGGCAGCAAAGCCTCCAGCTCTGCTCCTCCTGGCTGAACCTTTCTGTCCCTTCAGTCTGACTCTGACCCAAATCTATCATTTTCCCATGTGTTTGAGGACAGTTTCCCTTGCCCCAGATCTGTTATTTCCAGCTCTAGTTCTTGTGTTTTAATCCAAAGCCGAGGCTGGCAGAGAGTAGTGCAGTTTAGGGATGGCTGTTCCTGCTGCCATGTCCCACCTCCACGCCCCAGGAGGCGGCTGTGGCTGCTAATGAAGTTCTGCCTCACTCCTCAGGTCCTCATTTTAAACACAGTTCAGGCAAAAGAAGCCTTCAGGAAAAAAGAAATTTCCAAATCAACAAACACTTTGAGAGAGTGTGCAAATTAACACATAATTTGATCAAATACAGATAATTTTTTCCTCACAAGAAAGGGCTGTTATCGGACAAAAAGCCAAAAAGCCAATCAAATCATTGCTACAAAGTGTGGAGATGCTGCATCAAGTACACTGATATAGGTGCACTTTTTTGTTCTTCTCCAATTTTAATCGAGTGCAATTGAACATTTTTCACTGAAATTTCAAATATATGTATTTTTACCTGCTGCGCATACTTGGAATATAAATTCACCTGCTCTGGAGGTTGTTTAATGGTTAAAAAATAGCACCAGGATCTAAGAGACATGATGAGTCCTAAACATAGAAAATAGTTTACCCACTTTATTCTTGATTAGAGCACAAGTATTCAGTGCTGCAGTACAAATATTTGGCAATAACCACAACCAACTGCCATGACAGAAATATATTAGACAGAAGAGAGCGAGCGGCTGGTCTCATGTAAATTTAATGTCAGAATATATTATCTGCGGCTGCACTTTGCAACTCTGCATGGCTTTGTGTGGAAGATAAAATGCTCTGATTTACAGCACTATAAATGTTTGCTAAATGCCTTAATTGCTCTCTCTTCTTTCAAAGTGGCACTTTATTATTAGCTTACAGAGTGTGCTATGTAGGGCAGATAGTTTTTTCCTAATTCATTATTGACATGTTAAGAATCTGTATTTTACTAATATTCCTTTGAATAAGAATAGTGTCTGCTTTACCTCTGCTTCCAGTGATGAACAGCCACATCCATCTTGTTACTATGGCAATATTACGTAGGAGGAACAGAAACAGACTGATGCTTTTATCTTCTGCCTTTGTACTTCAAATATACACTCTTCCCCCCTCTTTATTTTTGAACAAAACAGCCACAAAGGGGGGACATGAATTGTTCAGAGAATCAAAACAAGGGTTATTTTATTAACCTTGTTG